CAAGGGATAAACAATAATATAATAATCGAGGAGGAAGAATAAATGGTCAGTTCTGAAGTAATGAGACTTTATACAAGTATACACATAAATATGGCACTTGAGTCTGTCAGAAATGAGCTCGCCTCCGATCACTAACTTAATAAAAGAATTCGAGTTTTTAATGAAGAAATTATACAAAGGATATAGTTTATTTTTTTAACTTTCACAGTATTAAAATCCTAAGACAAGATATGCAAACAGCCAAAAGCAGTAGTGATGAGATCTCTAATATTCTTGATCGTAGCAGGCATATCCATGAACAGCTGAGAACGAATAGCACTAGGGGAATTCCAAATCACCTCAAAAATATGATAGAGATATGCAGATAACAAATCTGTTATGTTGAAATCAGAATATATCCTCAGATATCCAATAAAATAATACTCCTGCTTCATTGTATGCTATTTCTCATAAACTTATGAAATATAGAAAAAAGATAATTAACTTAGACGTCACCATCTACCAGAATTTTAACTATGGCTTCCTGTAGAGACCGAATTATTTAGACCGTAAATCCTGTTGTCTGCTCAACACCCAGAATAGAGTTCAGAAAGCTTTCTGTCAGGTTCCGTCGCCAGCACGCCACCATTCAGCTACTGGGTTGGAACCCAATGGTCTATATTCCCTACTTCTGTCAATTCACGATACAGCGCGATCTTCATCTAATGCCATCGTTGAGTAAATGTCCTCATTTTCGACTTTTTGGCTCCACTGGTCACAACTTCTCAGTGGAACTTCGGGAATCATCTCCCGAAACTAGTCTCCAATGAGCGCTAGATTAACTGTATCAGGAGGTTTATGGGGATTCATTGACTTTAGGTTGGTATTCATCATGGACTCATAGGTGACTAGCTTCAAGAGGTGATTCCCGAGGTTCCAATGAGAAGTCATGATCAGTGATGCCAAGCAAGTAGAACATGAGGACAGTTACCTTATAACAGCATTGGATGGAGGTCACGCTATATCGTAAACTGGCAGAAGTAGGAAATATGGACCATGGGATACCGAATTAGTGGCTCAATGGTAACGTGCTGACTGTGGAATCTGAAGGTTCTAGGTTAGACTCCTAGCGGAGCCATGGGTACGCACTGTTGAGGAGTCCCACACTAAGACGAAACAGTTGTCCAGTACTCCCAGGTTTCCAGTGGCTCTCCAGCCGATGTCGGTCCGAGTTAAGTACTAACCTGAAGGCAGTCAATCCTCAGAAGATATTTTTAGACGTTCCACTGTGTAAGTGACAGCTTCTTCAGCAGACTATATGGACTTTTATGAACATAATAATATATGGTCAAACATCTAAGGCGTTTAGGTCACTGGTTAGGCGTTTTGTTGTTTGGACTCAGTGATTACGATTCATCATTACAAGTTGATTTGTTGATTAAATATATATCTTAGTCAGTGTGTGTATTTACGTATGTTGTAGAATGTGTTCTTTCCTGTAATTTCATGCGAATAAAGGTGGCTTAAACCTCCTAATGGCTAATGCTTCAACAAACTTTAAAATATGTTCCCAATAGGTCTTACAGACGGGCTTAAATGACGTTTTTACATTCATTTTATGCCCAGTTTCGAAATGTTTAGCTATTGAGGAGCTAGGACGTTTGTTTCAAACATCAATTGGGTCAGGCGATTGACTCTATTTATCTCCGAAGCCACTTTGGAATATGTTCTATGGTCTTTATTTTCAATGATCGGTGAGTCCTCCCAGTATGTGTGACCATATGTACATTTAAATTGGTATGACTTAATCTTCTACTTGTTTCAACGGTTTCGATAGGCATATAAGCTTCAGATATATCTTGCTAACTGCAGCTTGAAGTTTCTGTCTGACTACCAAGCTATTAGTTTACTGGTTAACACTCAGTAGTTTTCGTTTCAACTAAAAACGGTCATTATTAATGGTTTCATCGGATTAATGTTTGCCAAATAAGTGACAAGTCTATTTCTTCTTTTCCGTTTATAGCATTTGATGTTGTGCTTTAAAAGTTAGTCTTTCTTTATGTGAATGAAAACCTGTTCCTAATATGACTACCTTTTCAATGTCAATTATGTGTCCACTTTCGGTTGCATGCATAGCTATTGCTTATTAGTGACTTGCTTCCAGATGGATATCATGAAGCTCCAATGAGAAGCGGTGACCTGTGGGGTCAACCAGTCGGATGTGAAGTGGATGCTAACTGAAGACCTTGGGTGATAGTCACGCCATATCGTGAATTGACAGAAGTTGGAAATTGCGAACCGCTGAAAACCGACCCAGTGGCTGAATGGTTAACGCGTTCACCGTGAAACCTGAAGGTCCTGAGTTCGATCCCTAGCAAGATCGTGGGTGCGTACTGCTGAGGAGTCCCATACTGGGACGAAACAGCTGTCCAGTGCTCCTAGATTCCCAATGGTTCGCCAAATGATGTCAGTCCATGATGAATACTACTTCTAAATTAAAAAATCCCCATTTATCTCAAAAATACACTATTGCTAATCGCTTTGCTAAACTTTTTAATGTATCTTGATTTTTCGGTGGATGTTTCGCAAATAGTTTGTGTTCATCCACCACAACTTTTAAGGGTCTGCAACTTTTTCTAACACAATTAGCCTCCTCATATTCCAAACATTTAATTTTGTAGACAGTTTTTCTGTGTCATCTTAGGAATTACATCTTTCACTTTGACTAAGATCTTTCCCAGTGAATTTGGAGCTTTGAAACAGACTTTAATAGCAAGCAATGCGCATACTCTTCTAATCTATTCAATGGTACGATTTTGATACAATATGATGTTATTTTTGTGTTAATAAAAATCCGTATATTCTACTGAAGTAGTTGTAGCTTACTACACACAGTGAAACACTTAGAAATATCTTGTTTTAATTTTCTAAACACGCTGGAATTATATTAAAATATACTGTTATAGAGAACAAGAGATCGTTTGTGAATGGATACCATACTGTAATATTTAACAGTTGTATTTTATCAATAAACAAATTCAACTGTTTCATTGCACTTCTCTTCATCAATAGTTTTACGTGATAAGTAAGAACCGTCAAAAATATAACACGATTCCATCAAATACGCAAGACTTAAACACTGTTGACATTCATTACAAAAACACTACAACAAAATGGCTATCTCACAATCTAGAATAGAAAATATGTGAATCACAAAAAATTCTTTGCACACTCAGACTATACACCAGCAAACCAATCAATATGCGTACATATTTTATAGACATCAGCTGAGAGAGCGAGAGTGAACACGTTCACTCCATTTCATAATTTATCTTGCTTTCTTTCCCCAATGTACATTTGAGGTTAGTAAGTAGTGAGTAATCTTTCGATATACATGTATATGGACAACAGTGAAGACCAGGTATACATGTCATTAATGGGTGTGTAGTAATTATCTTCATATTTCTATGTTGTCTTAGCAGTGATTTTTAAAAGTTGTAGTCGAGTATGGTGCTAGTAAACAATTCACTAGATATGTTAGTATAGCGAAGATTTATGTAAATAGTGTTCAATGTCCTATTCTTCATCTTCAGCATAATTCCAACGACCGAAAATAGGAATAACTTATAGGTGACTGCAGCAAGGTATGACACTAATAAATAGTTTCTGACTGTCGGCCTGCAGTGTATATGAAGGTGTGGGTTGCCCAGTTCGGTTCACCAAGATATTATGAACAAGGCATGGAGAGTATTGATGACATGACTTGGAACTGATCACAAGGATACAAATGTTTTGATTACTGATCATCTGAGAGGTTTTGAACATTGTATATATGCTAAATGAAGTGTTCACCTTTTCATTTAACTGATTTTCTTCTGAAGTAACGCGTTCACCGTGAGACGCATCATCCCTGGGGCTCTGCTGAAGAGTCCTAAGCCGAGATGAAACACCCATTCAGCGACTTCAGGTTTGCAGTGGCTGTACAACTAGAACCAATCCTTGAGGGGAATTACCTTCAAATCAATAAATCTCTACAAACTGACACATGAGTATCAATAGTTTTCTGTTCGTTTCATGTTTACTCTCACTTTTGTGGCGATTGCAAAGCATTGCACTTTCATTATATGTTTTATGTTGACATAAGGGTAAAATTTGTACAGTGTGATAGGCTGTAATTCCATTTTACTCTGTTTAATAGTAAAACAGTATTATTTATTTACTTATTTGGTTAGTTATTCATTTATTTATTATTTATTTATTTATTTCGTTACTTATTATTTATTTATTCATTTATTTGTTAGTTATTTATTTTAGACGTAGTATTCATCATGGACTGACATCAGTTAGGGTACCATTGAAAATCTAGGAGCACTGGACAGCCGTTTCGTCCTAGTACGGGACTCATCAGCAGTACGCACCCACGACCCGGCTAGGGGTCGAACCCGGGACCTTCAGGTTTCACGGCGAACGCGTTATTTGTTTTTTATCTATTCAGTTATTTATTTATTATCCAGTAATATTAAAGTAGAGACTAAAATAGAATTACAAGTTTTATGCTGTTTTCTTCCTTTTGATTGAAACATAAAAGGCGGAATAAGAGAATATGACCACAGAAGAAAGCTGTGTCAACATCCTACAACTGATGTGTTACTTTCAATGAGTACTATTTTGTGAGTAAAGTCACTTTGAAAATTAATCTAAATAAAGTATTTTCGCAGACTAATCCGTCATCACCAGTTGCAGAAGTTGGTTTTTAACTCTCGAATGAAGAACTAGAAGTCTTCGAAATTATTCTATCATGATATCAAGAAACAAATCATAAGTAAGTGTAATAATTCATGAAAGATAAATATATGAAGTTGTGAAGTAAGTATAAAACAAACCAAATGTTTTTTTGAAAAAAAAAAAACATAACAAATAATCATTGTTTCCCTTGCTTTGTTATACATGTATCGCATTATCATCACCGGCTATACTGTTTTAAAGGGGGGAGGGGGCTAAGAAGAACGAAGTAGAAAATATCAACTTGTGTAAACACGTTCGGCAATGTATAATTGAGATATATCAAGATCAAGGGATTTTGATGATTCTGGCGTAGTGGTCAATTCAGTGTAAGTGGATAATATCTCCTCTTCACTGAGATTACTTTCATTAATGTTGTCACTGTTGTTATTGGTGTAGATATTATTATCATTACCATTTCTCAGGTGAATACTTTCCTTTTCAAGAGTGTTATCATCTTTCTAAATAGAAAAAACCAGGCAAACAACATATTACCTTCGTTTACAAAGGAATAGACAAGACAAACGAAATCAACGTAGAACCTTGTACACAGGTACATCACCTCAAGTTTCCACACTTCACAATGGTATGTAGACAACAAGTCGATAGAAAAAAAGTGATATCAAAGTAGACAAATGTGTATGAGGGAATAAACAATCTGAAGATAACGATCAGTACAAATATTCAAGGTGTGGAAGACGTCAATGAATGAATACATCGGCACCATTTTGACTGATTTCCAGTTATGTCATCAACAGTCCCTCAATCACCGATTACTATCATATCGGGAACCTAAACCAGCCAGTCTACATCTCCTCACACGACTCAGATCAACAGCTAGGGACTCAACCCAGGTATTGATCTGGTCACTCTCAACCCTTTTCTAACTTAATCCAACTTACTTTAGCATGGCACGTCGAGGTATGTGGTGAATCGGTATGTGCAGCACATGTTTAAACCATATCACTTGACTAACGCTCACTATCCCATCAATCGACTTGCCAATCTTGTCTAGAAACCTTTACCTGGTCACACGGTGATTCCAAGAAGGTGAGTATACCACTTCCGATTGGTTGTCGTGATACTGGATCCCGCTCTCCGTACACACACACCCATCACCACCACCACCACCACCATATACGCAATCACTTACAAACATAGGCATAACTAATCAAATGAGAAATTAGATGCACCTCAGCAACCACGTACAGTACAAAGACTCGAATTCCGTAAGTGTTCAAACTTTAACCAATGAGCATGGTGAATATAAATGAAATGTTAACCATTGTATTATTATTGACATTAGGGTTCATCGATGACCAATGAAAACAGTTTACCCTGTTAAATAACGATAAAATATCTTTGATGCAGTAACTCAGCTACCTTGTACACATTCGTGCAGTAGGCAATGAATGCCATCTATTGTGTGAGGGTTAATGATACTATCTAGCTGTCTAAACCTTGATAGGTGGAGCTGCGCTCGAACCCGCAACCTCCTAAGCCAATGAGCGAAAACTATTAATGATTTATCATCTGCAGTTGTGTGCAAGCTAGCGAACTAATTACTTGAACCACATAATCTTAAGATATTCATTGGGAAAATGCACGGGCAACAAGAATAAAATGCTTGAATGTAGGGTCTACTGAAAGTATGTAGCTTATTACCATAATAAAGCGATATTGTGCAAAAATATCGTAGAATGAAGCATATTTTCTGTTGGTTGTTAAAAACAAATGTCACTACACTGACAGATAAATGACGTCTCCAAATAGTATGTGCTACAATATAGTATGTCGTTATCCTCATATCTCCCGTCTTACTCATCGCAATTTTACTGACCATGCGTATCTAGCCTTACAGCCAGCTAAATATCATGAAGGTCATATGCTTCAACAAAGTATCTCTGATGTGATTACACTAAGAATGCCAAATATAAAAACTTCTTTTAAGTATTGTTATGGTGATAGAGTGGTATCTTATTGGATCAACTACTCGGTTTTAAATCATTGCGTTACAGGTTTAAGTAACACTTCATCCAACCGAAATCTAAACAGTTGGGCAGCATTACTGAACATAATAAAAAAAGGTGCGGCTTATAGTCTACTGGACGGTCCTGTGAAAGGTTGTCGAGTAACACAGTGTTACCTGGTATGACCGGTAGTATGAACTAACAGCCTACGAGCAATACAAGCATAGCAGACTATCAATGATACGAACCTAACGCGCAAACAAACCGACTCTAACACACGTCAGAAGGTCGACCACCACACCACAACAATACCGCGGACGCGCGAAGACAAGAGAACACAGACCGTTGACAGAGAGCTTTTTGCAGTCTTAACAACAGTCAATATAGTTGACAGTGATGCTGAATATATATTTTTCTAAATGACCTTGACAACACTAAATCCACATACAGATAAAAATAGTTAACAACCAATGAGAGTTCAACCTTGAGAGCAGAGGGCAAAACTAGTAACGGTGTGAAAACAGCCATGTAGGTTATTTTAGAGTCATGGCAAAACAGCAGACAAAAACTATGCATTACCATAATATCATTAATTATAATATTAATTTTATGAAGAATCGTTTTCATCAACCAACTTAGTTCGTTAACTAACACTTCCCCAGTAGAGCATACTAAGACAACAATACAACTATAGAGTCATGAAGTTCAATACCATAGTGATAACAACTCTAACTGAAGCACTAGATGATGCGGGATAAAATTTCTGAGACAGCAGAGGGGGATATAGATACATTCTACTCATAAGTGTCAACACAATTTCGAGTCAAGCAAGGCTTTCTATAGACTGAATTTCATTGAATCTAACACATCAACAACTATTTTCGGTCATAAACAAGAAAGAAAACACAATATAGAAGATATCACTAACCCTAACAGAAGAATCAATATCATTCAAGGGAACAGTAAGATCTATTGGATTCTCTGGTAGATTTGGATCCAATAAAATATTTTTCGATTCATTGAGAAGAACATCTTGGGATGAAGGTTGTTCTGAGTTAATCGACATTAACGTCCTTGAACGACCTTGTTAAAATAAGATAGAAATGATATTATAAAGGATGGGAATGATATTTACTCAAATAAAGAACAACATACTATCCTACTGATATATTTATAATTCTCCGTTGTTTTATTGAATCGAATTGTTCGACCTCCATTGGTATATGGGCTCCTATGCAGATACTTCGACATTGCCTGAATGATAATTACGGTAATTTGGTTGGTTGTGGCCAATAGAGGTTGAACAATTCAATCCAATAAAACAACAGAGAATAACAAATATGTCAAAAAAAATCGTAATAACTACTACCCGTTGTACAAGAAGTGACTATCGATCCTCCGTGGATAACACCTTGGCATTTGAAGCGATGGGTACTAGTTTCGAGTCTCAGTGGGGACAACATCACTCCGCACTGGGGTGCAGGTACATCTAGCTGACGAGTAAGTCCCAAATAAGACGAAACGCGCGTCCTGGATTCCTCTGCTAGCCGTAACCAACAAAATTACTATAAAGAACAACATAGGTTATAATTTCATAAAGTATAAATTCCCTACAGAATGCTTACTACATACACACTTTATTTAAATCTTCAAGAGAATAAAGAAAACCTGCAACAATATTAGGTAATACTAAGAGAATTACGCATTGATTGGTCACTGGAAGGCAACCGATTTCACTGTTCCTGTGCCTAATTATTTTATGCCTATTGTTGTGAGGTGTGGCGACTTGAAATGGTGCAGTTTTGTCCATCTGTTTTTCCCAACTATCATTATTATTATCACTCCTTGTTTTATTTTCCAATAATATCTAAACTAAAGCATTGGAAGAGCAAGAATGATAGAAATAATAATAAGGCAGTTAATTGTGTACAAAATCTGCTCAACGTAAACAAGCTATCATCTAGTCGTCAAATGACGAATAGTCAGTTAAGAGTAATCTGAAATGTAAGGCTACACTTTACCCATTTGAACATCCTCTGTCATCATTTAATTCTCTCATTTAGTTGGTCGAAGGCAGTCGACAGGAAGTCCTGCTTGGCCTACGTTTCGTGTTTGTTAGCACTCATCAGCAAGGTGTATCTACAACGTCGAGGGAAGTGATGTCCCTCCCCTACGAGACTGGAAGCCGCGTTATCCAGTATTGTACTCAACGAAGGGCGGGGATTGATCTCTTGTAGGAGACTGGATTAGATACACTGATTGCTCAATGGAAGCCAACCAGTTTCATAGTGTCTAGTCCTGAGTACTGATCGGATTCTATCGATCATTTTGTAATGTGTTCACCAAGCTAGAAGATTTAGAATCGAGGTGCACTTCAGCAGATGTTAGTTGCTTGTTGACACTGGACAATAAGGCGTATATGTAACCAACCAAACACTAAATCAGACAGAGGGGTCGCCCTCTTCATATCCAACTACAAGAACATCACAGCAGTGAAGCGTCATGACACATCTTCGTATACGCACAACTGTGAACGTAAATTTGACTGGGAGAATGTGGGAATTCTGGATATTAGAAATACAAAGAATGCCAGAGAAAGTTTAAAAGCTTGGTATTCAGGTAAGTCAGCAATCAACAAACATATTGACATTGACCCAATCTATCTACCAATAAGGAACAATAAAGAAAGTCAAATTTAAGGTCATCAGGACAACCAATCAAAACAAACATGAAGACAATGACAAAACCCTGGCATAAACAACTAATCATACACAAGATTATCAGGACAACCTACTAAGCCATCTGTGAAGAAAACCCCATAGCGCACTTTTTTCTGAAGTTTGCGCAGATGAATGTTGTCTAGAATGACAATGAAAGCTTCACGATTCAATCACCTAACTCAAAGAATACAACATCATACAAAACTCATCGAAGTCTATAGATCACGTTTTTTGCAATGTATATTTTTTATTATTCAAAGTGAAGTGTTCCCTAATCTTATATTATTTTGAATCAATGCTTTCAATTGCATTCTGGTTATTATCTTTAGAATGAGATGAAAATTTCAGTTCTCTGCCTAAACATCAATACAGATGTTCTCCAACATTGTTTTGTTCTTTGCATAGACTAATCTATAGACAGTAAACAAAACTGTTTTGAATGAGGTCTATCGATAGCAAAATATTGTATAGGATGCATTAATGAGATATAATAGACTTGGCGTTAGGTGTTCAATAGAAAACTTTCTACCTAAATAATGCTCGTCAGTGCAGCAGGTTCCTAACTTCAAGTTAGTTGACTTATGAATGTACATAGATTCAAAAAGAATGTTATTTAACACTGCAATGATAAGCGTTAAGCCACTGATTTGATAGGGTGGTTGATTTATATGAACAAAATCTTTAAAAGATAGGAAAAAATAATCGCAAAACAACGATTACAATGAAGTAAATAAAAAAAGTCTAATTTTACCTGGAAGTAATGTGAGCAAGTTTTTTGCAGACAGAGGCGAAGTAGTCTCAAAGTTCTTCGTATTTGAAGGCAGTGGAACTAAGGCAGTCCACATGAGAACCATAAATGTCATTACTAGGAGGCTTGTTCCACCGGCAGCTGTAGCTGCTTTTCTAGCACTGACATGTTTGTTTGGTGTCAGGCAATTTGAACTGAAAAGCAGTGGTAAATATGAATCTTCATTCTGTTTACTCATAAATTTGTTCAAGTAAGATCGTAATTTGCGTAGGTGTAATGTAAGACTTCTGGTTATACAAAAGACAAAAAAACAACAATATTAAATAGCGTTATTAGTAAGATCGGAATTTAAAGCAAAGTACAATCCATATGAAAAAGAGAAATAGATCTTCTTAACTAACAATAACAATATGAGCGACTTCAAAGGCTACCCTAGCAATGATAGAAACAACTAATTAGGGTTATTGATTTCAAATGAAAGGGTAGATTTTCATAAAATAGAGCAGCCTGATTGGTTATTTATCTCGATTGTTGCTAGAGTGGCCTTTAAAGTTACTCAAAAAAGCAGACCTTGAAATAAACTATCTAGTCGATTAGAATTACTTCATTTGTCAGTTTATGAGAAAATATAAAGTTGACAATTTGAAATAACCCTCGCTGGTAAAAAAGGTAGTAACCAGTGAAGGTGTCTAGTTATGCGTCCCCGTCAAAACCTATCGGTTACTGAGTTAAGTGATACAATAATGCGGTGCACTGTATTCAATGTTGGATACTGGGCGGTAATTAGAAAAGGCTTTGAAACCAAGTTTCACACTAGTCGATATTCATCAGTAACGTACAACTGCAAAATTGGGAAAACGATTAGTCCTTTGAAGACTCGAACTTGTACTACTCAGTGCTGAAGTTTATGACATAAAATTAATCTCAAGACAACACACAGGGATGAGATAATGGTTAAATTTCCAAGAAAACCTAAGTTACTAAGATCTTTAAACCCAGTAAACTACAGAGCCATCAGATAGATACCGTTTATGGACGGATAAGTCAACTAATTTATCTATCAAACCTCTTTCTTATCATAAAACACAATTAAAACTGAATATCTCCAAGCTCCACGCACTTCTTAAATTAATAGCAGTTGAAAGCCTACAGTATGTTGTCCGACTGAACGGGTCTATAAAAATTGGAAAAGATTGTGATACTCACCGATATCTTATACCTCACTAACTCCAGTTTGAACCACAAAAAGGACGAGTGTTACCAAAACCTAATAATTTCGTTGCATAAGCTAAAACTTCCAGATATGAATTTATAGTAAATAGTACAGTGGAATACAGAACAAGGATGTTGTTGGTGGATTACAAAAACCAACCCCCTGATCATTCACTGATATTCTCACCAACGTCGCCACTCTATTCCCTAACTCAACAACCTTTAACCTTAACGCTAAAAAAGAATAAACACTGTACTATCTGTCATTCCAGAGTCTTCGCAAACCAGTGAAATTTCTGTGCTAGTATCCAATCCTACCTCGGAGGAAATATGCATCATCCTTGTTGACGTTCAGGCACAGGACTGCTATTCATTGTTGTAAGTCTTCTGTTTCGTCCCAAAAGAGGTTCACCTCCTTCATCAGTGATGTCACTTCTAAAAAGTATCTGTGAACTGTTTCTAACTTACTAAAATTCATCGACTGAACTGCATTTACAAGCTTTAAATGATGAGTAATGGCGATTGATATGTTCTTCATAGACCGTGTTGCTAATAACTATGTTCATGACGTCTCATCCATATAATATATCAAGCAATAAACAAGATTTTTTTCATCCCCAATACTGGTGGTTCTTTATCCGAGTTTAGCGCCATACTTTCAAACTGCTGAATTCTATCCACTACGTCAGTGAACTCCGCCAATAGCCGTGCCTTCAAAGTCTTCTGTGCATAGTTTCCCCTTAGCATCCTCTATTTTTCTGTATGCTGCCTCATAGACCGTTTTTCCCAGCATCTTAGATAAGCCTCCAACAGCACCGTCAGCTTTTGTACACGCACCGACTCCACAACTCTCTCAGGAACTTAATAGTACGTATACATAATAGTTTTTTTTCGATGGAAGACAGGTTTGCTTTCGTAAAAAGACTTATCATTTGGTCGCTGTTTCTTCCAGCATATTTACAAATAAATCTACGCTAAATTTTAATTTTTCACATTCAATTAAAGGTAGAATTGATGTTTTAATTCTGTTGGTTCATGCGTACATTGCATTGCTTAAGTAATAACAAATATGTTGTAGGCGTATATGTATATAGAAGGCAGTGATCATTAAGATGATGAAATAATTACTACACACTATTTATTTATGAATAAATTCCAAATATGTGATTCCATGTGAGATGTGAACAAAATCTTGGAAAAAGAAGACATGAAAATAATCTCGAAACAACTAAGTAGTACATAAAAACTCTGATATTTTGACAATCATTATTCAAACGTAGTCAGTGATTTCAGAGTCGTATGTAAGTATCTCTATTCAGCAATCCAGTATACTGTTCGCTTTGACTATGAATCAATTCAGTATTTAAGTATGTCAAGTAGAACACAACATATACACACATATGGTTACGTGAAATGCCCTCATGTGGTTACAATTTGTTAATTCTTCATACCATTAAAAATTACTTTTATCAGGTAAACACCTATCACGACCTAAATAATCACACACGTCAATCGGACCACCTTGCATAGCAGTAAATCATATGAAGCTGTTCAGCTTCACAATATCACAGTATAGAAAAAGAAAGTTAACAAGAGTAGTATGACGTTATAAATAATAACCAGCTATGTGTTTGTCTTAATGATAATCTACCTATAGAGATAACTGATTATATCAAACTTTAGACATTTGCTGAATTTACCCATCTTGTTAATAACTAAATAAATCAAGGCAGGATACAAACAGTTGTTGTTGCTGCTGTTGTTGTTGTTGTTGCTATAACACCAAAACATTCCATCATTCTTATCACAAATTTATTCCATCAAATATTTGTTATGTATTCCACGAGAGGATATAATATGCACACCCAACTAACAGTTAACTTCGAACGAAAGATCCACTGACTCCAATCCGGATGAAACAGAGGAAACACGTAATATATATATATATATATATATATATATATATATATATATATATATATATATATATATGACCTTGTCCAGGATTTGAAACATTAACATAGTAAAACTAAGCGATAACCAACCAGCGAATAACCTTGAAAATGGGAATAAATGAACTACTGACCATGTCGCAAAGAAAATGGCGCGAAAGCGACAGTTTAAAAATGTTTAGATCAATAAACAATGCCTCATGCAAATCTAGGGCTTTCCAACAATAATGAAATGAGATGCAATATAGAAAATAACACATCATCTCGGTAAATTTAATGCTATACACTTCGTCTCGTTAGCATAACAGAAAATCAAGGGGAAGTCAATTGCCAAACACATAAGACTTACAAATAGTCACAGGTTCAAACACTACTCAAGACATCAACATTTGGGAAGTAGATAGTACCACTACGTTTCACATAGATGAGTGTACAGCCAAATCCACAAAACTAAACGTGGCTAATGAGTATCATACACGACAAGAACTATATATATATATATATATATATATATATATATATATATATATATATATATATACATTCAGGTCAGTCAGCAATCAACAAATGTATAGACATAGACTCAATCTATCAACCGATGAGAAAAGTGATAAGCGACAGGAAGGTCAGAGGTCAAGCAGAAGGACAACCAACAGGAAAATCTATACAGTAAATGACACAAAAATCAAAGGAAACAACTAATCATGAACTGCTTCGTCAAGGCAAGCTACTAAATCACTCACGGAGAGATACTGACAGCTCACTTCATACTGAAGTTAGTGCTGATGTCGTCTAGAAAGACGAAAAAAGTTTCACGACTAAACAACCCAGTCCAGAGAACAGAATACAACCAAGACCACCCACCTGAGCTACAAATATTCTCCACTATTTCAATGTCTAAAGTCTGATATAATAAGTAATCTCTATAGGTAGATTGTCATTAAGACAAAGATATAGCTGGTAATAAGAAACACCTATTGTATGAAACTGTGATACGGTTAGCTACTCAGACCTCGATAGCTGGAGGAGGCCTCGAACATATAATCCACTAGTTGAAAGTCAGATGGCTACATCAATGAGCAAAAATCCCTAAATCAAGTAAGATTCTCGAGAATAAAGAGATAACCCTCTTAATGAGTTAGTCACAAAAAAGTTTGAATAACTAATTATCACACTACCGTTTATCCTCTTGCAATTCATATATATAGCGGCGCAATTGTTTATTTTCCTCAGTGCATAAAGCATATCGTCGTTCCAAGTCAAGCACATATTTCTGACGCTTTGCACGACTCGCTTGTGCAGAGATTTTATTGCGAATTTTCCGTCTCACAGTACGTATTGCTTTTTCATCAGCTGGACTTAGTGGAAATCTCATAGGCAATCGACAACCCAACTCTTGAAGCATTTTACATTCTTCCAAACTAAATTTAACCTGCTGTCCCTGATAAATCAAGAAATAAGATAAAAACAAACATAGTGTTCAGCAGATAAAATACGATTAAAATACCTTTTAAATAATCAAATTATACAAACTCGATGCCAAAACCAGTTTACTGCCAAATAATTAAGTCCGTCAGCCTTTAAGGCACCGCTCATGTGTAGCATAGCCATCAGTTGTAGCTGTGGCTCACTGATTTATGGAGATGACTTTCAACATATGGGTCACGGGCTCGAACCCCGCTGCACTACGATATTTGGGCAGCCACCCCCACCCCCGCCTAACACACACAATAGATGTGGCTCACTGCTTATTGCACGAATGTGTACAAGGTTGGTGGATGCATTTCAACAGACATCCGCCACTAAAAATATGATGGTCTATGCTAGACGAGTAAATTAATTGGCAAGTTTCTGGATCAGTATCAATTGACAACCGCATCACGTGTTGTGTATACCTACCCACTCTCTACTAATAGTACTATGCTACTTCAAGTAACACTGGGATGGAAGAAGTCCCATAGTAGTCTAGAAAAATCAACCTATTGCTTTTCTGAACAATCGGAGGCTAGTCAGTTCAAAGTAATGACAGTAAAATGGGTTAAGATTGAAACCAGATATGGGTATACACTCAATTTCCGATCTTCTCCATGACCTGAAATGTCTGTTCTCAACTTTTGACTGTGGATAACGTAGATAGGGAAAGTGAGTTTATTAGTTCAATTTAGGTGAGGGTTCTTTTCCGGTTGAACTACAAATAAAAATACCAGGTACATCCAGTGGGAGTTATCCAGAACCAACAGAATTGTGGTCCATTAGCTAAGACATCTATTTTTGAACCAGTCAGCACCAACGTGGTACTTCCCACCACTGAGCAACAGGTCCGAGTTGTCACAATTCATATCAAGACACCGAAAAGGGGGGCGTTAAGATAAAAAAGAAATTAGGAACACAGCAACCATAAGTAGGTGAAGGTCAGCAAAATGGGAATAAAGTCAAAACCTGGTATAACCACTAGGGTTAAGATAAAGAGTAGATACATATGCGCCATTAACGCCGATTCTGAGCCATGTCATCTAGAGTCTAAAACCATTGGGTTTCTGTTGTCACGCGAACCTTAACCCGAAAGTCTACATTTCCTTGCATTGCTCAGAGCGACAGTCGAAGATTTCAAGCACCGGTGTCATGTTTTATTCTGACCGCCCCTGACCTTTTCCCAGTCTATAACTACTTCAGTTAACATTGTGAGACAAGGTGGATGGAGACTAAGTGTGAGTAAAATATGTCCCAGCCATCTGAGCATATGACGGTTCAAAACCTCTTCAACTGATTTTCTTCTCCCTAAAACTCTGCACCTGACTTCTGTATTACTGACACGGTAAAACCACAACAATCTATGCCACGAAGGAAACGGTGGTCGAACTTCAGAAGCCTCTTCATATCCTCTACCTTTAACGGTCAAGTTTTACAGCCATACAGTAGAACAGAGTGAACTGCAGCGCAGTAAACTTTACTCATAAGGGGGGAACGGATATCACATAGGCGCTATAAATGGCTTAAGTTGCCGAGAGTGAAGCGAGGCTTTCGTATCCCATCAGAGATTTCGTGGCTTACGGACCCACTAGGGCTGATCCAACTTTCTACGTAGGTGAAGTGGTCAACGCGCTCAACTGTTTCACTCCCTTTTATTAAACAGGCTATCCCTGAAGACCAGTCCTGGAGCAACAATTTGTATGAGAGTGATGAGAAACGCATCCCAAAAATCTTCAAATTGCCGATGAATGTGTCTAAAAGACTGTGTATCTTGTCAGCATCTTTACTTAACAGGGCTATGGTATCTGCGTCCTCTAGATCTATCAAGGATTCTCCTGCGATAAGACCAATCCTTGTTAAGTCAGATGACGAGGTAGACCTCCATAGGTACATCTATGATAAGGTTGAGTAGGAACTGACAGAGTGGACATCCTTAGCAGACACCACTGGATGTACACAAGTCACCAGACAAATCACCATAGGCTCTAACACGCCCACAAGTGTTCGAGTACACAGCGTTCAACAGTGAGAGATAGTCATAAACCTTCTCGGTCGGAGTTGAATAGCGCCTTCAGGTTGAGGAAAACAACCAGTGTCAGACGTCAGTAAGTGTGCTTGTTTCAGAGCCCGGTGGAGGGTGAATATGTGGTCGACACACCCACGACCGAGTCTTAAGACTATCTGGTTTTCTCGGGTTTTCTGTTTCCGAGTTCCACCCAGACGTCTAACGATTAAAGAACCTAAATACTATGTTTGTCATGCTGATTTACCTGTGGTTATCACAAAGTTTTTGCCCTTCATGCAAACTAGGAAAATCAGTTCTTGAGATTAATCAGAGATCATACCTGACTCCCATACACTTTATTTAGTTTGACCAGTAATCCTCTACCACCATCTTTAAATATCTCTGCTACTAATTCGTCTGATCCTGCTGCTCTTACTCGTTTTAGATTTCTTGCATCTTTTTGGACTTCTGAAAGTGTAAGGAGTCCTATCTCGATGTTTCATTTGGGATCCAAAGACTAGCTCAAACCTGAAATGAAGCGAAGCAGAAGGACCTGGAGGTTCGCCACTAGATGCTTTGAAGGCTGGAAGAATACAATTACTCAGTAGATTAACCGATATACTAGCTATTACATGGAAGAGATAGTCCCGTCAAACTAGCCTAGGTCGCTAATTATTCCAGACCAGAAGAAAGGAGAGAAATTCTATGACAACCACAAGGAGGTCAGTTTAACGAACAATGTGTTCAAGAGGTTCGGGTCCATAATGGTCATCCAATTCTTAATTGGAGCTTGCAGACAACAAACTCTAGAAACCCAAGCACATTTCAGACCTGGATGATGGTCCATCGATCAAATCTTCACACTTCATCAGGTTATGGAACACAGGCATACCAACCAGTAGCTGCCACGCCATATTTCTTGACTTGAAGGCGGATTTCCGATCGGTCGATCGGGTGTTGTGAAAGTGTCTGACTGTACAGGTAGTACCGAGCACGTATGTAACGCCAATCAGAGCTCTCTACTCAAACTCACGCATCCATGTAAGGGCTTACTGAGAGTTGCTATCTGAGGTGACGACAACCAGTGGTGTCCGCTAGGGATGCCCTATCACCGTCCCTGTTAAACTTTCTTATGTAGGAGCTAATGAACATAACTCTGAGCACCGTTGATTTGACAGGGATTAACTTACTCTACTGACATGATTCGAATGAGTTTATTGAAATAATTTCTTTAAGATTACTCTTAAATACAACCAAGTCACCAGGTGGCTTTGACACTTATACTTCCCAGCAGAAGCTGGGTTACAGAACAAAAGAATGCAAAATACAACAATGAAAAGTTTGTGTACTATAGAATGTATTACTGTATTCGTAGTACAGATGGATAGTGGTTAGCAGCAGAATCCAGCATGCGCATTCCATCCTATTTGAGACTCGTCAGCTGGGTGTACCTGCCTCCCAGTGAGTGACGTTGTTCCCACGGGATTCGGACTCGGAGGCGATCGCTTCAAACGCCAGAGCGTTACCCACTACACCACCGAGCCATGACAGCCACCTCTTGGATTCAAAGTTACGACCCGAACAGGTTGGCTGGCTTCAGGAAGAATCAATCATGTGCGGATCAAATTGCAACACCACGCTACGAGTCATCTCATCATAGAACAGAGCATAGAATGGCAAACAACTGCATCTTTGCCTCAAATTCATCCACTTTAAAAAAGCCTTCGATAGCGTCGACCGACAAGTAATTTGACAGGAAGCTGCTTCAACACTACACTTTTAGTACCACAAACATTTATCAACCTCATTCAACAGCTATGTGACAACGCTACATACCAGATGATTCACAATGGAAAGCTACTCAGTGATGCCTTTCAAGTGAAGACGGGAGTAAAAAAAGGTTGCTAACTACTGTCACCGATCATATTCCTGATTGTGGTCGACTCAACTCGACTACACTGGATCATGTAAAAAACTGAGAGGAGCTGGCTGGACCGATGAAAAGACCTCAGAGGAAGATTTGGATTTCACCAACGATGATGATTTATGTCTAATGTCTTCTCGCACAAACTCCAACACCTGCATACAAAAACCAACAAGTTGGCAGAAGAGGCAGGGCAGCGAAGACGGGACTTCCTTCAAGTGAACATAGAGAAGACAGAGGTGATGAACACACCCAACCAATAACAACACCAACAACAAGCACCAATCACCATCAATGTGAGAGACCTAAAGGAAGTAGTCTCTTTCATCTACCTACCTACCTAGGCAAGGCAGCATCGTATCAACTGCAGGTGACACAGATGAGGATGTCAAAGCCAGGATCAAAACAGTAAGCAAGACAGGCCTTCCTTCATACTAATCTGAAATCAGTGTGCAGATCTACTGAACTCAGCATAATGCGTGAAAAAGATCCGAATTTTCAACACTAATTCAGTCAAGTCAGTGCTTCTATGTGATGGTTGAGAGAATTGCCGCCCAACGAAAAGCATTTCCAACAAACTACAGACATACATCATCAACAGCTGCCGCCTACACTCGCTCACTCGATACTGAAGATCAGATGGATGGTCAGAATAATAAGAATAAGCAACAAGGAACTCTGGCCGACTCGCTGGCTGGCAACGAACCAACCAAGAACCTATTACCCAACAAATATGCAGAAGAAAGTGGAGATGGATTGGACTGGGCATACACTGAGAAGACCATTCAAGGACATCACGCACCAGACGAGGCCCTCGAGTGGAACCCAAATGGGAAACGACGAGTTGGGCGTCCCAGCTGAAGGTGACATGGAGGAGATTGTGTGAGGAAGAAATGAAAGCTTCTGGGCAGTCGTGGAGCCAGGTTGGAAAAACTGCAGAGAAGAGAGTGAAATAGTGGCGTGCTACTGAAGTCCTATGTTGGACTAGGAACACAAGGGAAAAATAAGTAATAAAATAGATGGCACGTTGAAGAGGGTGTTGGCTCGCCATGCGTAGTACATGGCCAGACCATCTCACTCGACTAAGGTTCATAACCTCATCAATCGGCTTGTCTGCCTTGCCGTCTAGTACCCTTCACCTAACAACAACATTGATCACACGGCGATTCCACCAAACGCGAGCAATTCTACGAAGACGCCTACGATCGAAACCATGCAGCTGTTTCATATCTTTTACTTTCAACGACCATACCTCAGCTGTATAACAGGAGAAAACGGAGTGCAGCGCAGTATACTCGTTCTTTAATAGATAGTTGTATACCTCGCCAGTCGGCGCCACAGAGGACTGGAATCCAGTTAAGGAGCGAACTTTCTGTTCTACTCAGATATTCTACAGTATGTCATTTAGATACATATCTAAGGAGAATGTTATATTTATCGTAATTTAACACTAAAAAAGTTAGCTCGAACTCACAGGTTTACCATTTTGTAAATCTTCATTGTTTAGATTCACCGTTTTTGTTTTTGACAAACAACATTCGTATCATAATCACTTTCATATATATCAAAATCATCATTAGACTCCATGAAATCTGAAGGCTGAAAAGTGTTATCTGAACTTGAAAGACAATGAGCCGATGTTGATGACGAAGAAGAAGTGGGCTTTTGTTGAACGATTCTGGATTTATCACAAGGTTTAGACGTGATCAAATCAAAATTTGTAAGAGAATTATTTTGGCAATTGTTACTTTCGTCACCTTCTTTTAGTACTCCGGCCTCCTTATTTATTTCATAGTTTAAAAAATGACTAGGACTAATATCTTCCAATGAGACTGGTTCACTGGAATCAGGTAATAAATCTGTCCAGTCGAAATCTGGATCATCTAAATTTTTATTGAGTAATTCCGATGGCAGTATGTTGGTATCCACTTCAAATGAAAATAAACCATCGCCCTCAGTATATAAATCTGGGCCTACACATTGCAAGACAAAGATGAAAATTAAACTTTGAAGTACTGGAAACTAGCAGAATTAACAGAGAAAACTGAATACTTTATTGTATTTCTATCTAAATATTCCTGGTAACGTACTGAATAATGCCAATTTTGAGGTAGCGGACCCCATCACAAAATGAAATCGGTTGAAAGTTTAGCTGGAACTCAGACTTATTGGCATTCGATATTAGCTATCTTAGGCTCAAGGACGCATTTGACTCCGTCGATCTACAAGTTTTTTGCTTGAAGGCTTTAAACTCTTACGTTGTTCATGTTTCACCTTACGCTAAGCAATCCCCTGAAGTAATTACATCTTGGTGTACATCAAGGATGTCCTCTATTCATTTTTATCCAGCTGTGTAATAAACGCATCTTCATAGTTTGATGTAAGATGAATTGATCTTGCAGGAAACTCCCCATTCAACTTAGAATATGTAGACGACATAGTCCCATTAGACGAAAACGCTAACAAGGGGACGTTTTATAGACGCACTGAGTGACGAATTGGGAATGTTTGGGACGCCTTTCCTATTTATCAAATGTAATTAGTTGCTTCAAGACCGATCCGCTTTAATACATAATTTGACAATGGGGAGTGAATTGTTTGAATACATTGACCATTTCACTTACTTAAGAAGTCGGATCAGACCTGGAGGTCGGTGGCTGACGTAATCTCGGTGCAGATACAAAAGGTTCGACTCGTCTTTCCCAGCTAACACTCGATTGCCTGCTAAAGGTCGAGTGCAATACTTAGAAATTCGCTCCATCCTACTACAAGGCTATGAAACATGACCACTAAATCTGGCCGACATGAAACTTTAGGTATCCGACCACCGTTTACTTCTAACAGAGGCCATAAGTTGTAGGACCAAGTGAATAGTTTAGAAATTAGGTGTAGGGTCCCATGTGGGAGACATAAGTCAGTTGATGGGCATATGGACCTTCATCAACTGAGGTGACTAAGATAACGTAATACACATTGCTAGTCATCGTCCATCCTCATGTATCATATAAGCTGAAGTAAGCTTATGTTGGAATAAGGTTAAAGTTGGTCAGACATTACTCCATGAAGTTTCTGACTCCTGATCAGAAGCGTGTGGAGAAGTTTAGACTTCCAAGTCAGGGTTCAAGAGATAACTAAAAATAAGGGTTAGGGACTCTAGGTGATCCGAGCCAAAACCTATGGTAGTCGTGCAGATGCATCTGTACCTTTTTTCATCCTTACTGTTACACTACATCTCGTCGTTTTCTTTAGTCTTTCTTATTATTGTTTTGAAGTTTATCACGACTTTTAGTGTTGTATTTGCATTTCTTCTTCCTTTGTCTTATTGCCTCGTATATCGGGGTATTGATGTGGTGGCAACTTTGACCATTATGCAGTTCCATATTGATGCTGACTCAGTAATGGAAGTGACAATGAGATTGAATTTTAGAGGGTCTTTTGTATTTCGATGCTTTCAAGTACATATTAACGAAAGTGAATCTTAAAAATCTTCCACCTTTAAAATTCACTAACGTCCTTACAACGAGTATATAAGTTTGTAGCCTAATCCGTGTATTTGATAATACATTGACCAGATTTTCACAATTATACAGTGAGACATAAATTAACTTCCATCGTTACTTGACAAGAATGTGGTTCATATTTTAGTAAATAAAACGAACGGGGTTGGGTTGCGTTCTTGATAACAATGCATCGTTTTGAAGAGTGAACATCATTTGAGTGTTTGGTTAAATACGGTCAACAACAAAAAATTAATATCAACAAATAGCTGAACACCTACCAAAAGTTGAATTAAGAATTGTTTTTTGGGTCACTGATTGATCCTTCAATAGACCGTTGACGGGGGACGATTTCATTTTAGCAACCACTTGGTGGTCTAAATGTGATACTGGTGGCGATAAATTACAATAGCTTAATTGGTATCCAAATGAGGATGGCGAAGGACCGAAATCCTTTCTTGGCATTATCCCTTGAGTACTGAACACGTTATGGTAACCACAGTTCTACAGAATAAAATAAGGTTATCTGTCCTACTTATTTACTTACCAATGATTTGGAGATAGCTGGGTCAACCAAACAAGTGTGCAGATTTCTGCCTTGATGGATCATTTTAAAATTTGTTTCGAGCTAGGTGTTATTCTTCCTTCATTTAAAAAACAACAGTAGCGAAGTTCGATTCGCAAACAATCACAAGTTTATAATGATAAAACTGATACTGAAATATATGAAAAAAGAAATAGAAAAGTCACTACTTTGATACAAAAGTTTTTCATAAATACCACTGAAATTTCAGAAACGATTAACTTGCATACAAACTACTGACAGTTATGAGATTATGTGAATTCAATATGAGAATACCGGATAAGTCAAAGAAAAATACTGCCCATAGATGTAACTTCAGTGAAAGACTCCAAAGACTGTCTACAGTCTTTTTAATGCGGCCAAAGAAGAAGTCCTGAAAGAAGCTGAACCAAAACAAAAAGACGAGTGAACAACTGATGCGAAGTAACCAGTCGAAGTTTCCCCGGTGGTTTATTAGCGAACACATGAGTCATAATGATGGGTATATTATAAGACGAAAACCCTCACATGAAAACCCTTCAATTGGCTTCCTTATAGAGCTTGTGCAGCTCTGCAAAAGCTCTTCTGGATAAAAATGAGATGGTTGCGTGCCATTTCACTTCTGGCGCTACCTACTGCCTTCATAACCTTCGTATTGATACAAGTTTTGTGGATCTCCGCATATTTAACCAATTCAAAGAAACTTGGTTAACTAAAAAGTTAACCATAAGAATACTGCATTCATTTAAAGAATCACTGCGACATGAAGATATACTTCATACAGATTTCAACAGGAAGCGATAAGCATCGGGACATAAACCAACCGGTTTTCTGATAACAAAATCACATTTCAAAAACTTTTACTGGTCCTTTTAAGTCATTGCACATTTCGTATCACCATTCAACTTAAAATATACTGAAGAGTTCTCTATAGCAATAAATACCTTACGTACGAACTCAGTACGAGGGTTTCAAACTTTGGTCCACCCTGGGCAAAAACGTTCAGCTAGTTCAAGGTTGAAATAATAGATGGAAATTTAGAAGGAATCTCAGCTACTCTAAAGTACCATATTCGTTTTAACTGACTTCGTATCCATAAGATGAACAACGCAAACACTTTGAAAGCAATCTGATAAAGGTAAGGCTGAAATCTACAAGGTAGGCTAGGAATCTAGGTTATAGATATCAAGGACTATTTCCACATCCTTACCAGATAGTACTGGGCAGTTTTCTGTGAACGATTTCCGTATACCCGTCAATTCGATAAATTGAAATGCAACTAACTAGCAACGTACATGCTCATGAAGCAGGCAACAAGTTATACTTGCCGTGTAACAGTTAATCATACTAAGTGGCTGACAGAACTTCAGCAAGTGGAGTAGGGTTAAGCCCGTTACCCACTGATTGAAAGTCGAGTCCCTAGACCAATGAGTCACACCTCCACAACCTGATAATTAGATAATGGAATTAGATATTCATAATATTTTCGTCAATCCCAGATTGAGAGTCGTGTGATAGGTTTTTACGTTTTGCGATATAATTTGAGTACTTATGTCCATGTGAGATGAGTTAGTTCAAACCAATTAATAAATGGTCCGTAATCGAAAGCATTGACCAGTAAGCTAAAGCAACACTTCCTTGGAAAACTAAAAGGCAAACTCTGTCTCACACTGAGCACTTCAGACATGAACTTATTTCATCTATATCTCAACTAGCGGATACAGGCTTCATACGAACAAGTACTCAGAATCGGGAACCAGATAAGCTATTTGAAGCACATGCTTTTAGTACCTTCCATTACTATTTCAAAGGAAATATGTAGTCTCTACACTATAAATTGAAAGCATAACTACATGCTGCTTCACCTGTAATCAGTCTAAAAATTGAAACTAATGTCTAGGTGGTCACTGGTAGTGTCAGAAATGTGTTAGAACAAAAGGGGGAAATAAAGAGAAGAAATGAGAGTAGTGTTGGAACAAAGCAATAACACTTGGAAAACGCAGCAACCTCTATTTTTCTCACTAAATCCTTTCATTTCTACCTTTTCGAGGAATATTGATGGGGATTTTTCCACACCTGCTTCATCACACCAAAACCTCTCAGGATTTCAAAGCGATCTGCTCAAATTAGTCCAGCCATATTTGCAGGCCAACAGTCTAATGCAAGTTACTATCGGCCGATACTTCAAACCTTATCTTCTCGCAACAAATTGGTGCCCACTGCGTCACATTCAAGTACCACTTACGAGAGAATACAGATTCACTTAATTCTCCGAGTCTTCAGTAATCTTCACCCGAATGTCTAGTAGGAATTTGTGACACGAGATGATATTTGATGACACGACCAACACTAAACTGAGCCGCACTTTCTAATTTTTGAGTAAAACCCCAATAACCAATATGGATTGTCGGTTACGGTACATGAACCAGTGAGTTATAACGTCCCCATTCATTATTTTCCACCAAAATTTCTACTTTTCTCAACCAAAGGGATCTAATATGAGTAAAACTTGAGCACTGTGGTCGATTGTAATTCCATTTTAGTTTAGTTTCAGACATAATTTATAAATTATGCCCGAAACGTTTTCCAGTAAATGCTACTGTTTCACTGCATGATATTTCTAATAAACAAACTAACACAGAGGTTTAAGTGTTGCAAAAATAGAAATTCGCGTTGGCAACTGCCGACGTCATTATTTTAGCAGAGCAAAACGATGGGCCATGGGCAAAAAACTGGATATGTGCAGTTCTTCTGTTAGAAACACATGTAACGATTAGTAAATATTTGCACAAGAAGTAGTCATAGCTGAACGAAATGCAAGAAAAATAAAACACATCAAAATCATATTAGAAAACAAATAAAATCCAGGGAAGCAACTATAGTACCACTAAACCTGTATTACGCGGGTAAACAACATCCAACATCAATAGTGCAAGCACAGTAAACTGATGGATTTTGACCTCTCGTATCTCGTCCGTTTGGCTTTGTTCTTGTCTATCACCTTGATTCATTAGTGGGCAAGGAAATCTCCTTTGCTTTCCTGCTTTTAGCTCCAGTGAGATGAATGATTTTGTGGGTGCAAAAATTCAACATCAATAGCGTGGGCAGGAGAAATCAATAGTTTCAGAGCTCTCTCTTCTCGTTCTTGAGGTCCGATTCTTTTCAACTGACTATACTTCCTCGATGGTCTCCAGATGGTGATGGGGGCTGTGACCACATCCCACGGTAGAGTAATCCACAAAGTCCAAGCTCTCAAAGAGAGAACGTTCGGCTTGATACTGACGTTAGCTGTCTGTTGCACCATCTTGGTGGCGTTACCTCATGACGACCACCATGTTGCAGGTGCCATCAGTTTGTTCGTACGAATTACCTGATGGGTGATTTTGTTGGCCACAAGGACAAGTCCACATGTTCCAGTCCACCAGTGCCCCCCCGTCAGTCCCACAAGTGGTTTTATTGCAGATTTTCCTATTCCTTCAAGGAGATTGGGGTCTTTTTTGAGTGTTGGGGGCAACACCGAGGTCAAGACCTCCAGGTGCAGCCGTACACAGGATTTGAAAGCTGGGTAGTAGCTCAGAGGTGACAGTCCCAAGCAGTCCACGCAGGAAGTGTGAAATGGCGTTCGCCATGGCTCCCACTTCCCTGCAACTAGAGCTGGTATTTGGGGTGTCAGAGGAGTCAATCCCCAAATCTTTTTCCTCGGACCTTTTGGTGATGGCACGGCTACTCAACTTGCATTCGAATCTAGCCAGCCTTGCCCGATGGGTACTGATGTGCATTACTTCGCAGTTTTCCATGTTGAAGCTCAAACCGCTTCGCGGTGACCAGAGTTCTAATGCCTGCTGGTCATTCTGCAGTGCTTTATGGCCGACCTCTTCGTTTACCCCTCCCCTAAATTTTCCTGCCTTCAACGAAGATGAAGATGGATGACGACAGTTTCTGTGACATCGCTGACAGTCTGAAGGAACGGAAGTAGTCTCCCAGTGCCGATGGCCTCCATTTCGACGACAGTCTCTTTGCTTCGGTCCACTACTGTCCGTATTCTGGGTACGCTTTGAACGAAGAAAGCAGAGGTTAGCCGGTGCTGACTGATGTTGTCTTCTAAGGCGTGGTTGGAGGTCAAAAAATGATACGTTCCGGTTATCATTTGCTCCAGCTAAGGTTCCCGTCATCCAAGGCAGTCAGCAAGTAAATGGAAAATGAACGATCACTCCGAAAACCATGCTGTGGAGTAAGTATAGTGTTTTCCCTGCCGAGGAATTCCCAGACATCGTCTAGTAATATATATTCCATACAACATAGGTTACATGAATACAAACCTGTTTACAGGTTTGGTCACCATGGTAATGAGAAATGACTATTATGTCCAATATTAAGCTTTACATTAGATACCGTTATTCATGACATATAGGAGGTGTGTTGAAGCAGGCTCAGTCCGAAGTTAGGGATTTTCGGTTATTGCTTTCAGAAACTTTGGACAGTATAAGGAGTAGGGAAACCGGTCTGTACCTGCCGTGACAGTATCGTCTCCTCTCTTGAAAATTACGCACTTCCACTCCTAAGAGAGCCTACGTGGCCTTACTAAGCGACTGGATAAGTTGAAGGTTGGTTTGGTGAGTGCCTCGGTTCAGTTTTCCAGGACTGCTGATCTCAGGTTGCCGCAGCAGGGGACTTTCCTGGATGGAACTCGGGCAGTTTTTCTCATGCTCTTTTTTGTGTGATGAGGATGTGGCAGAGGCATTTTTTATTTATGGTCTGATCAGCATCGTATCACATTGGTGTAAATTTGGTGTCAGTGGCACCAAGTCGTGCTTTGAATCGTGGGCTCAGAGACTCAGCCATTTATAGACTGCTCAGTACATCTCCACTGGTCGACTTCCACTTAGACATGGAGCAACCAGGCTCTCTGGGTTATTTTATAACCCTCTCACCAGGTTCGTTTGATAGTTAAGCCTGTTACCGCAGGCTCCTTTGTTGCAGCACTTGTGAATTCTTTTGTACTGCAAGAAGTCAAACTCTCAGCCTACTAAATGTCACTTGGATAAAGC